TTGCAAGCTGTTTATTTTCCTTGGTTCAGTCATCTTTTTTATATACCCCTTTTTGTTTTTTTCTCTATATACCATCCTTAAATATGATCTTCTTCGCAGATCCAGTATCTGCCCTTGGTTGTATTTGTCCATGTGAGTGTTTGTCAACTCTCTTTTGTGGGTATATGGCGCAGTGGCTAAGGAGGGCATGGCTGTCTGCCCTTTAGGGTAGATAATAAGTAATACAAGTTATTTATTGGATAAATACAGAAAGTTTTCAATAGGCAGAACATTCACAGAAAGCCATCAGGCTTTCCAAAACTACTGAATCATACCAAGTGACCAATCAGTTAGTAAGAGTATATGAGGTGTGCCACTGTATGACTTGAGAAATGAAGTATTTCCTCAACAGACAGAAATTGTGTTTAATTTTTTTAAAAGTTCTGTGACAAATGGACCCTCTGTAGCCCCAAAGAAGGCAGTTTTGTCTCATGGATTGAGCACCGGATTTGGAGTCAGAAGACCTGGGTTCAAACTTAAGTTCTCCCTCTTACAAGCTTGGTGAGACTTTGAGAAATTTACTTAATTTCTCTCAGCCTTGGGTTTCTCAATAAGTAACATGGTAGTACTTAGGCCTACCTTGCAGAGCTGTTGTGAGATTAAATGAGAATATGAGGCAGCTGTGAGAAAGCACTTATCACAGTGTTAGTCAAATGTGAACTTTCTAGAAACTTTTTTGAACTGTAACAATAACTACAGCTAAATGCAAATTAATCAAATCAGTTATATTGACCATAAAATATTTAGGAGCTCATTCTCCTCTCATTGTGGGGGAGGGATCTATCCAATTGCTTTTAATAGTAATGGAAGCAATATACATCCAATATAACCCAGTGATCTTTTTTTTTTTTCGTTTTAATAAATATTTCCTGAAATTAACTTCCGTATCAGCTGCATTAGATTAATATAGCACTTTAACTGAGCACAGAAATCTGATTCTGATCAACCAACTAAACATGGGAAACATCTCGGGACTTCCTGGACTGTGAAGAACTAGAAGTACATAAAATCATCATCATAATAAGCAAACTTTGCCAGAAGGATGGGCAGCCTCCCTCAAAGGAGTTTTGGGAAATCCTGTGATGTCAGAATTCATGGACACGGAATACATAGGAATTCCCAGAGAGAAGTTAATCACCCCACACGGCCTTCTCTTCTCTCAGGAAGGGAGTATGTTGTGTCCTTAGGTCACTACCCAACTCTCCCTCCACTCATGTTTCTGTTAAGGTGATTAATTCACCTAGAGAAAAAAACAACAAAGATTTTTAAGAACACTGACTAAACCATAGAATGTTTTTCTTTTAATATAGAGCATTAAAAATTCAACCCCAAAGCAAAAACATTTAAAGATATGTGAATTTGAAACTTTTAATATATTCTTCTGCTCAGGACTGTTAACCGTTTCTAAATGTGCATGGGCCCTAACTTAGACAAAATTGGATCTCATGTAGAGAAAATGAAGTAACTTCGAGGTCTTTGTCATTTGCATTTATTGATGCCTAAATTGAAGAAAAGTATTTTTTCAAAAGAAAGTGTTCCAGTAGAGTGAGAAGCTCTTAAAATTTAGGAGATTCACTATATGACCTTGAAGAATTAGGAATGTTGTTTCCAAGTTTTGCTACTTCCTAACTATATGGGCTTCAGGAACTGTAATACTGTTCACTTTGGAGATGATCCATTCCAATGATCCCACTTTATCACTGACGGAAGTGAGACCAGAATTGCCAAGTGAGTAGGGAAGGAGCTCCCAGTCAAGTTCTCTTTCTACTATAGCAGGAGGCTTCAGCTTCCACATGAAGGTTATTTTGTCCAGATTCTCCCAATGACTGTCTATGAACATGCTGAGATACAGTGCTCGATCGTTTTAAGAAAGTCGAATTGAAATAAAAATCAAAGTAATAGAATTTCACATTTCTTCAAACACCATTTATCAATCAGGGCAAGATTAATACGGCACATAATCCAAGGAGAGCTGGAAAATGCCACACAACCAAGGAGACCATTTCTTTCACAACTTTGGTTAGGTTCTTCCATAATACTCCCCTTTGCAAACACACTAAACAATGCAAAAGCTTTTTCATAAAGCCTCTTAAGGCATCTCCATTCTTCACGTGTTTTTGCTTACAGCTGAGGTATCAGGGCTTGGCTGTGTTGGAGGTAGAATTTATGGGCATACATGTGACCAGATTATCAGGTTTGGTTTCCTCTTCAAGTTTAACAGTTTAAAGGAGGGAGAATCTCCACAATGGAAGAAATAAATGATGCGATGCAGATTAGTTGAATAATATTAACTATTATTATTACCAAAAGTTGTGGCTAAAATAGCTAATATATATTGCATGCTTACTATGCACCTAGTGCTCTGTTAAACCCTTTACATTTAATGGGATCACACCGTTCCAAGCTGACCCCCTATCACCTCTGCCGGGATACACTTTCAAGGGGAGACCTGCTAGATTCTGGAGAGGAGGTATCAAGCAAGCAGGGCTCATGTTAGAGCAGACTCAGAAGGGGTGCTGTGGGCAAGAGCTCGCCCAAAGTGCTCCGCAGGTCCTCCCTAATACCTACAGCTCTACTGTTCCCAATGCCGAGCCAAAGGCAACTTGTGCTTTGGTGAGCTTGTGAGTTCCTGATATTCGTTCCCACTTCTGAGTAAAATAAATAAATAAATAAAGGTAAGTGGAGAAAATGTCCTTAATCTACGCCCCCCCTTCCTTCTGTTGGGATTCTCCTTTCTCCTGGCTTAGCCAAGAGTAGAAAATCAGGGAGTCCCCCAGTGGGCATGAGTGAGGGTGGCCCCCTCGAACTAGCTACTCCATCCCCGCTTCAGATCCTCTGAGGACGGACATGGCCATACAAAGAAGAGGTGCTTTGCCACGTTAGCAGGTTTACCAGGCATCACCACATATAAATTTCAAGTGTGTGTGACACACACAGACACCTAACACAAACATGTAAAAAAAGTACCTCGTTCAACGGGTGGTGCCAAGTAGCACCTGCTAAATGCATTTTCTTTCTCCCTCCCACTCCCCAAGGGAGGCATGAAATGCATGGCATTTAGGATGCTGAGATACAATTCTTTCATTCCATCAGATATCACTGAAGATTCCACCTCCTGATTTTTTATTATAATCATTCACTTCAGAACTCTGGGGATTTACAGCACATCAAACAGTGATAAGCAACCAATGTGCGGCAGAGGTGGTTACTCAGCTGATGAAAAGCCCCTGTCAACAGAAGGATGACAACCTCTGGGTCAGTTATTGCTACTTATGGAAATGTTGAAATCTGAAAAGATCTCAGTGATTCCTAATAGCGATTTCCTCTTGAATCCATTTAAATTAAAAACGGAGGTTTTATTTAATTAGGCTGCAGGCTCTGTCTGCCCCATTGTTCACATGGGTTATATTTCTGTTTAAGTGCAGAACTGACAGGAAAAATCACCATCTGCTTTCCACAAACAAAATATCCTTTGGGTGTTTAGCAAACTAAAGAAAACTACACCTAATGTTTTGTGTCTCTTTTTTAAGCAAAACCCTAAAACCACTACAGGAAATCACAACAGAATAGTATGCAATATCAGGTCATAACACTGATTATTAAATATTACCTGTTATTTATATACACATGGAGACATACCAAAATTAACCCATACTCAGGAAAGATCAACTAGTAAACAAAATTATAAATGTGCAGTTTAACTAAAAAGGGAACAACATCAAACCTTAAGGCAGCATTGGCTGAGTCTTTTCTGGTAAAGGATGTATTACATATTTCAACGACTGGTGAATGATTTTTAAGAACAATTAATTAAAATAAATACTACAATAATGTTTTGAAAAAGAACTAGGACTGATTCTAGGACTCTTGCAACATAAATTTATACTGGAATTTTAATTTTGGATTAGAAAGCACACACAGGAACATAATCTTGTAGCAGTCTTTCCTCAAATACAACATAAAGATTCCTAGTAATTATTGTTATTATAGATTAGCACTCTTTGGGCTCCTTTTTCACTTGTCATTCAGAGTGGTTATCAGAAAATTCTGCTCATGTTTCCATAATATGTGGTCAGGCTGCAGTTTACCTGAGTGCATCAATAGTCTATCATCATGCTCTGATTTTTACACGCATGTCCTTAATGCTGAGTCTGCTTACCTGGCAGGCTGCCTCCATCATCATGTCCCACGCACTAGGGCCAACCTAAAATGATGACATCTATCGTGGCTGAAAAAATCATACTTTGATGAACATATTCGAAAGTACTTTCATAAACACGTTTGGGGATTTGTTTTCTTTGCAGCTTGCTTTGTTGGATTTTCCTGGTGAAGCCTGAAAAGTACCTTTAGTTATTTTACAGATCTGGTGCTAGATGCTGACGGGACAACTGTATGACACGAAGGACAGATTTTAAAAATTCCAAAAAAGGCTCAAATGGAAATAGCTTTCACACGGTGCTGAGAAAGAACACGTAGGCACTTCTGCTTCAGGAGGTTTTCATATTTTGATTACAGATCGCTTTTTCCAAGCCACTACTACTGGAAATTCTCTCATGGTACAAACCACCCAGTTCACTGGAAACCTTGCTCTCCCAAACATTGTCTGGTGCATTCATCTTTTTTTCATCAAACTAAAATTGTCCCCGTTGACGCAGGGATCAAGTAGCTGCCCGTGCTGAGAGCAGTGGGGGCGGCCCCCACCTCCCCATCAGCACTACTGAGTGCAGGCAGCTCCACCAGCTTCTATCAGGCAAAGCTGCTTGCTCTGCAGAACCAAACTATCCATCAACAAAACAGAGAGAGGAGGGTCGAGTGCAATTTTTCTCCTGGAAATAGTTAATGTGTCTGCCTCTCTCCTTCCAGTTCCTTATTGTGAGGGTAATTCAACAAAGCATATAGAGTCTTCATAACATTCTAAAGCTACTAGGCTACTGGGAGTTTGTTTATTTATTTATTTTTTTAATGACTACTTAAACAGTCTCCTTTTTTCTTTCTTTCTTTCTTTTTTTTTTTTTAAGAAAATCTGTGCTAAAAAGGCACTAGATAAAATGAACTTCCTCACTCTTGTTTATGGAACAATTATACATGGTGTTAGATTCTATAATTTAACAAAGGTGACACGCATTTGGATAAAATACCCTAATTATTCAGACTCCTCCACTTTCAGTTAAAAAAACACACCCAAAGTCAAAGAAACAGCAGGTCCCCCTGACCAAGACCAGCCCGACCTTGAAGTTGCTGTCATTCCCTGCCACCCCAGAGCTCTGGCCCCGGTTGCCTAAGGGAGCTCTTGCTTGTCAGGGAAGACTCACTGACAGCAACTGTGGGAGCCAAGCCTCCTGGAGACCTGAGTAAATGAGACAAAGGTGAAGTTCTCACAATTTTCCAGCTTGACCTTCTTGGCTAAGTTTGGAACAATCCCCCGAAGAGACCGCAGGCCCATCCTCTGCTCCTCATACCACACGCTGCCCATGTCTGTGGCCTCCTTCCGGGCCGTGAGGTAGAAAGGGGACTTGGCCTCCATTTGGGTGGGTGGCCGGTGGGTGTACATGTACTTGTAGAGGAGGCAGTAAGGGCACTGTCTGTGTCCCCTAGAATGCTCATGGTAGATTTTCCCGTGGCATACTCTTGTGACACCACTGCGGCTCTCCCGCTTGACACTGTCTGTCCGGGCAAAATAGGGCTGGTTTTGTGGGTCTTTGAGCAGCTCAATGTCACCATACATCAGATCTGCATGCTCCTGCAGGGTCCGCATATTCAGGTACTGGCTGTTGTACTTGACCACGGTGGACAGGAGAGTGACAGGACTGTCATCACCTAAACACCCTGCCTGCCACATCTCCTCCTCGTCGGAAAGAGAGAAGTAGACAATATTGCGAGCACGGGCCCCTGACATCCCTGCCTTACTCAGTACCCACAGCTTCTCCTTGAGTTTCTTGGTGGAAGAACTGAAGGTGCTGCTGGTGATGGAAAAGCCCACGCCTGCATTCTTCAGGATGCGGTCCAGGCCTCGGCGAATGGCGTGCAGCGAGGTGGCCAGGAAGTCAGAACCGTCACTCTTCTTAACGGTGACATAAAAATTCTCGAGCAGCTCGTTCAACTTCGCTGCAGGGATCTCAAATGAGACAAACACTGAGGTTACACATTTGAGGACACCCAAAGAGCCAGACCCCTTCCTTCTCCTCATCCTCCCAGCCTGATACAGGGAAAGAATTTCAAATGGAAGATCTCAGTTCCATACCGGAAACCACAGTGTTTCAAGCAGCAAAATGGGGACATGATAATCAAGACGTTCTTGAAGGATTATTGTAATGCTTAAATAAAGTAGGGGATGTGAAATGGTTTGTAAATAGTGGAGAACACACATACACGTATGCACACATATACATGTATATACTAATTATGATTATTGGCCTTTGTAACTTTCACTATTCTATTCCTCTCTGGAAAGCCTTTCTTCTCTTTTCTAGCAAATCATTTCCTTCTCTCTCCTTCAGGAAAATCCAACCATTCTCTCTAAAGAATTTGTGAATGAAATTTACAAACTCTGAATCCTCCCAGCATCAATTTCCTCAAAATCTGCACATACTATGGGGTCCTGCGGGCACTAAACACGGCACCGTTAGGGAAAGACAATGGGTATGCCTGGGTTGCAGAGCAAGTTCATGACCTTAATTCTTCACTTGAATGTATCTGAATAGGCCCTGAAATATCACTGGCTTAATGAACCATAGGGTTGCAATATCTTTTTCAAAAAATATGAAAAGCTTAATGACTGCACTGACAGAGAGAGCTCCTCACTTGGATATGGTGGGAAAAGGAAGCCTGGGCATTGAGAGAGCTTTCTTTTCTTTAACTTTAAAAAAATATATATTTATTTTATTTGAGAGAGAGTAGTTGTGCTCACACGGGGGCAGGGGGGGACAGAGGGAGAAGCAGATTCTCCACTGAGCAGGGAGCCCAATTCGGGCTGCATCCCAGGACCCTGAGATCATGACCTGAACCAAAGGCAGATGCTTAACTGACTGAGCCACCCAGGCTTTATTTTCAAGAGGGAGCTAGAAAGAGAAAACCAGACTTTGCTCATAGTCCTTTCAGGCCAAGTACATATTCTAGGACAAAAGAAAGTCTCAACAGAAAACTTTTTAAAAGTAGAAACTGGACAGGTAACATTCATTCTTCTAACTGCCCTTGGGTCAAACAGAAAATAAAAACTGACTTAGAGATTAAAAACAAACCAAACTGAAAACATTCCATATCAAAATGCATGAGATATGCTAAATACACTCTCATAACATCAGTCTTCAATGACTTTTTTAGAAGGTTGTATGGAAAATAAGCAAACTGATTATTCAGCTCAAAAAGCTAGAGAAAGTGGGCGCCTGAGTGGCTCAGTTGGTTAAGCGACTGCCTTCGGCTCAGGTCATGATCCTGGAGTCCCGGGATCAAGTCCCGCATCGGGCTTCCTGCTCGGCGGGGAGTCTGCTTCTCCCTCTGACCCTCTTCCCTCTTGTGCTCTCTGTCTCTCATTCTCTCTCTCTCAGATAAATAAATAAAATCTTTAAAAAATAAATGTATATTTCCTTTCCTCTTCTTTCTCTCTCTCTTTGGTTAGCCCTTCTGGAAGTTTGTCAACTTTATAGGTCTTTTCAAAGATTACATATTTTCATTTTTAAATTCAAATTTATATCTCTTCTAGTTTATTATGTTTCATTTTTATTGATTCACTTTATTATTTTTTAATTTGGTTTACTTTCTCTAGCTTTTTTTTTTTTT